TTGCTAAACCAGGAGTTGAAGCCATAGAAAATAGCGTTTTCAATTACTGTATTTCCTTTCTCCTTTGCACCCTGGGGCAAAAATGAGGAAGAGTAATCAGGTACTTGGTGTATTTGTCTGCTTTGAGGAAATGATGTGATTTCCCATGGACAAAGTTATACACGGTAGTTCATGTCCAGATCACCCGACCAAAAGGCCTATTTAGGGAGTGATACTGATAAAAAGTACTCGTGTTCTGATTCATTTTGGTTCTAAAAGGCTTGTGTAGGATGTCCTGAGAATTTAACCACCATTAATAAGCGTGGCTTTATGAGAAGATGCATCCTGAAACAATCAGCAGGAGAGAGCTCTGAAACCCATTGAGTCCACAAGACAGGATGTCACCTGGTTACCTAGAGACAGCGTTGAAGCCGACGGTGCTTGGCCATAGTTTTGCCTCTTTCTGGTTTTCCTGCCACACTTGCTGCAGGTGAGGTCCTGAGCAGACCTCCCTCCATCATCCCTCTGTCTGTCAGGAAGGCCTCAGTGGGTCTTGGCTTCCGCGACTCTCTGCTGGCCCTGTCACACTTCACACTCAAGCATCCAGACCACTGCTGCTTCCCTGGACATGACAAGCACGCTCCCTTTTCTCTGCGTGGATGGCCCACCCCTTCCTTGCACACGGATCACTGCTGCTCCATCTCCAGCCCCATCCACTTTTGCCTCCTCTGAGGAGCCCCCCCGACTTGCCCTTGTGGACGCTGGTGTTCCTGGAGAATCCTTTGCTTCTGTTACTACTGGAAATTGTTTCCAAGTTCAAGACCTAATATGCTGTAAACACCTGAATGCAAAAGCCAAACCCTATGCGGGTTTAATCAAGAGTAGATAAGTAGATAAGGGATGAAAGAATATATTAGATAGAGCCTTAAAACACCCAAGGTCTTTATTCTAATGATTGCTCAATATGCAGTTAGTACTCACGGAGCAATCATACACAAATATCTTTCCACCTTCTTTCTGCATATTGCAAAAACAAGTGGCTCCCGTGGGGCAAAGGAGAGAAAGCAAAAGGAAAAAAAAATTGAGAAGGGGGAAAAAATCAAAACAAAATCCTAATGAACCAAACACACGCAAGAGACCGTCATTAGATAACCTTTATCTAAATGCAGTGAGTGGACGATTGGATAATGGTTGAAACGGAAAGGTTGCCACATGCATTCCCGACATGTACGCGAAGTGAGGGGCACGTGGAGGGGCACAAGGGTGTCAGGATGAAGTTCATGCGATGGATGGGAAAGATGGACCAGGTATCCCTGACTGCAGTACTACAGCGTAGCCAGCAGAGGGCAGCCACAAACACTGCATGCAGTCCCCTCTCACCCTACCCGATATTCTTCCTATTTCTGATCAATATAAAACTGGCAATTCTTGTCTCCAGAGGCAGGAAATGGAAGGTGGTGGGTGTCCTAGTTCTTAGTAACTTGTGGGACTCTTTTGGGATGTTACAATTGGGTACTTGAAGCTAGAGAACATGGTTGCAAACATGAGATGTTGTGGGTCAGCTGGTGGCATGGTGGTTAAGGTGGCTGGATTCCCACATGGCCAGCTCGGTTCGAGTCCCGGACCTAGCTAGAAAAACATGCTGGGCACATGTGTGTGCGTGTCCAAAATCCAGAGGGGAGAATGGAGAAGATTTTAGAGCATGGCCCTCCTCGCATTGGGGGTGTGGAGAGAGTGGGGAGCATTTCTCTCTATATATTCTGGCAAGTGCACATACTCCATAGCAAAATGTAAAATAAATAAATAAATAAAATTTTAAAAGACTATGTGGTTAGAACTAACTTCAAAGAAGCAGTGTTTTATGCCAAATGTGCTGAGTGACTCACACGCATTAGCGTTATTTAATCGTCACAGAAATATGTGAGCATGAACTATTTTATCAATCTCAGTCTCTAGACCGGACCCCTTCCCCCTTAAACACTGGATAATTTAAGAAACTTGCAGAGCCTGGAATCAAAGCAGCATTTATTTTTATTCACCATGTTATATAAGCTCCCTCAGCAGAACATTTTCGGCTTCTTTCCTACACTGTGCTTGGCGTGGACAGGAGTTGGCTTCAATCAGTCAGAGTCCTCGGGACAGAACCAAAGCAGAAAGTGATGAAAAGGGGAAAGTTGTAGAGGCAACAATCTTAGTTACTGAACCTATGGAGAACACGGTATAATGAGGTATTTATGAGGTTTCTGTAAGGCTTCCTTAACTACAGAAGATCTCCTTAACTTTTCCCACTAATTGCTCATTTTAGCCATTTTATTTACTTAAGTGGCCTTATCAAAGTCTCCCTGCGAATAAATGGGAAAGTTTGTTTACAGTAGAAAAGTCCTATCCGGCCACGACATGAACCCCATCACGGCTTTAAGACTGGTTGTAATTAGGCTTGTCTGGGAGATGAATGTTAGAGATTTGTGAGGAACAAATTCAAGATATTTTTAGTTCACTTCGGCAAATATTTTTGAATGTTTACTGCGTTGCCAAGCATTGTGCTAGGCACAGGGGTTAAAAGGTATTTAAGGCTCAATTCCTACCCTTCAAGAGTTCTCATATCCAGCTTGAAAAACAGACGTCTAAATCAATAACCATAAGGCAGCCTGACAAACACTGTCTGAAACGCATGTGCACAGTGCCGAGGTGACAGGGAAGGGTCGGCCTTTTGGACCTCTCAACACAATCCAGCGTGTCCTATGGATGACTATTTAGATTTGTGCGGGGCTGCCCCAGGGGTTGGTGCAGTGGCAGACTGACTGGACTCCCGTGAGGAAGGTCCAGGGTTTGTGTCTCGGGCCCTCCCTGAGCGTGTCGGAGGATGTGTGCGCATGATCTGGTCGGTTAAGACTAGGAGTGGACGGTGGCCTCAGGGTGCCTGTCTTTCTCTTTCTCTTTTTCAGAAGAAGAAACAAATACATAAAGCTTAAAAGGAAAGATTTACAGGGTGTTTTTAATCCATGATAAAGCAATGCTTAGTTTGAAGGTTAGTTGTAAAACTGAACAAGGGACCAGCAGGTGGTGTGCTGGTTAAGGAGCTGGACTCCCACAGGGCCGACTGCAATTCGAGGACTGGGCCTGGCAGCTTGAAAGTCATACTGGGTGCATGTGCCCAAAGCTCCAGGAGGATTATGGAGGAACAGGGATTGCAATGTGGCCATCCCCCCGAGGGGTGATTTCCTACTTTCCCTCTCTGTTTCTCTCTCTCTCTGGCAAGTGCATTTGCCTTATGGAAAAAAAAAATTGAAAACAAACAAACGAGTATGAACGCAGTTGCATTTACGATGGAGTGCCTAGAATTCTGACCACGCCTGCTCCCGAAGATGTCGACCATCCCAGGTTACAGTGCCTGCTCGGCAGCCAGTCGGTACTAGGCAGTTGGTGCTCACCGCATGTGAGATCTTCTGTTACAGTAGCCATCACGGAACAGTGGGTAGAGAGAGGGGAAAAGAAAACTTTATTTTTTTTGGAATTATTATATTTAATTTTATTTATTCATTCACTTATTTTAATCTAACCAGAGAAAGACAAAGAGAGAGAGGGAGAAAAAGTGAGAAAATGAACCGCCAAGTCCAGGACTTGAACCATGGTCAGCCATGTGGGAGTGTCCAGCGCCTTAACCACTGCGCCACCTGCTGGTCCCAGGAAAAGAAAACTTTACAGAGTAGTAAATCATGAAGAAGCACAATTTAATTGTATACCCAGCAATGGCTCAAGGGAACACCTAGGCTGACTGTCATTTCATAGCTGGGGGACTGATGTCTGGCAGTAGAACACACTTGTCTTCAAATGTCACCCACGTAACAGAGAGCAGTACGGTGAGGAGCACTGACCATGCACCCCGCTGGACGGTTCGGGCTCAGGTCCTGGGTCTACCACGTATGGTTTCCGTCTGTCTCCTGGGCTCTCCTCTGCAAGTTATTTCAGGGCTGCCCCATAGCGCAGTAGTTAAGGGAGTGGTATTCCACATGGCCGGCCACACTCTGAATTCCAGCCCCAGTGGCTTGGGAAGTCCCCCAGTGCGTGTGCGCCCCACATCCTGACAGCGCGGAGAAGTGGGGGAAAGGGAGTGGTGGTGTTACCAGGCCACTTTCTCTTTATCTCTCCGGCAAACACACATGCCCTCTGGCAAGAAAAGAGAGAGAGAGGAAAAAAAAAGTTATTTAAACTCCTTGCCATTCAGTTTCTGTGTTTAAATGGAAACAAGACTCCAATATCTGCTGTATGTAAAATGAGAGGGCGTAAGTAAAACAATGATCATTGAAATGAGATCTGGAGCCAGATGGAGTCACGGCATTAAAAGTGATGTTGTACGAGGGTGACCCTCCTGAGAGGGTTCCAGGTTCAAGTCTGGAGACCTCTCCGAGTACACATGGCACCTGTGCTGCCCCTGACCTGGGGCTGGCTAAAGCCAGGGGTGGATCAAGGCCCCAAGACCCTGTCAAGGATGCTCTCTCTCTCTCTTACGCTCTGCCTCTCTCACACGTGTGAGAAATAAATAATAAACTTAAAAAAAAGACATTTAAAAAGATTAAAATGAGATGACACAGCACCAGTGGTGGTGCAGCATGGCAGGCTGGGACCACATGAAAGGCCCAGGTTTGATTTCTAGCTCACCCCACAAAGCCAAGTGTGGTGGCACGTGTTCATGGTCCCAGCGACCCAGGAGCTGAGGCGGGGGGACAGCCACATAGCGAGACACCACTAAAATGACAACATGCTCACCAAGAAAACAGAAAGGAGCACAACTGAGGTCATGCAAACAAACCAGGGACATGCATGCTACGGGCTCAGTGGGTGCTCATCATCAGAACTCACGTGTCTCAGTTTCTGCGTGAATGGGTCTTACTGCCACAGAAGAATAAAAAAGCGTGTCGGAGTTTGGTTCCTGCGAGTGTCTCTGACCTAAAAAGAAATCTCTTTCTCAGATCTGCATATTCGTATGACGGTCTCATTCCCCCTTCCGTCTCTTCTTTCAGGGCCAAGGAGATTAAGGTCAAGTTGGGAATTCTCCTCCAGAAGCCAGACTCGGCCGTTGACCTTGTCATTCCATATAATGAGAAGCCGGAGAAGCCAGCCAAGACCCAAAAGTGAGTCACAAACAGGGACCGCAGTCATTCTGCTGCCAGGATGGCTGTCTTCAAGTGCATGGCACCGTCCCACGTCTGTGGGGCTGCCCCCTGTTATTCATTGAGGGTCTTAAGCGTCCTCAGAGAGCTGCTTTGTAAATAACATGTTCCTTTTTGCTATCCATGTCTGGAACATGATATCAAATATTGGCAGAGCACTTGAAAGAGAGGGCCGTGCTTGATCTTTGGAGTGACAGACCATGTTTTATTAAATGGCACCAGCCATCTCCTCAGTGATCTGCCACACTGAAGTGAGGTGGAAGACGTCTGCTCTGTGACTAACAGATATGTAATGGTACCTCACTGGACTCCCACAGAGTTGACTATGTTTAAATCCCAGGCTCGGTGGCTTAAAACTCATGCTGAGCATGTGTACATGCATGCCCCAAATCCCAAGAGGAGAATGGAGTGGAAGGGATTGCAGTGTGGCCATCCTCCCAGAGAGCTGCTTTGTAAATAACATGTTCCTTTTTGCTATCCATGTCTGGAACATGATATCAAATATTGGCAGAGCACTTGAAAGAGAGGGCCGTGCTTGATCTTTGGAGTGACAGACCATGTTTTATTAAATGGCACCAGCCATCTCCTCAGTGATCTGCCACACTGAAGTGAGGTGGAAGACGTCTGCTCTGTGACTAACAGATATGTAATGGTACCTCACTGGACTCCCACAGAGTTGACTGTGTTTAAATCCCAGGCTCGGTGGCTTAAAACTCATGCTGAGCATGTGTACATGCATGCCCCAAATCCCAAGAGGAGAATGGAGTGGAAGGGATTGCAGTGTGGCCATCCTCCCGGGAGGTGATTTCTCCTTTCTGTCTCTCTACCTCCTTCTGCCTCTCTGGCAAGCGCACACACCCTAAAGCAAAAAGCAAAAAAATATAGCTGTTCATTTATTGCTTTGGGTTAGGTACCAAACTCTGACCCAGTGCATTGTGGGTTCTTGGGCACTCTTAGCACTCTCACCTGCTAGGGAGCGATCCAGGCCGCATCTCCAACAGGGAGTGCATGTGTCTCAGGAAGAGGCTGAGGGGGTCGGACGATTGAAGCCTGATAGTTTCCTCTCCAGGACTGGAACCCTGCGAGGTCCAGCAGAGGGACTGAAGACTGTCACTTAAGGGAGAAAGGAAATCCTCGGCTAGCCATTTCTATTTCTGGCAGAGCGTGCTCTTCTCCCGGTGACTATGTGAATATTCCTGAGGGGTTTCAGCAGTGCTCACCCGGTATTATCTACATCTGTCCCCCACACCCCCGGCCCCCACACAGACGTGCTCCTATCAACTTGGGCATGTCAGGAAACTGTCCTTTCCAAAACACATTTAATTGACATGAGGTATGTGCACCTGCCATTGAGAGGGAGAGAGAGAGAGAGGGAGAGAGGGAGAGAGAGAGAGAGAAGGAGAGAGAGAGAGAGAGAGAGCGAGAGGGAGAGAGAGAGAGCGAGCGAGCGCACACCGCAGGGGAGTGTGGTCATGGCAGAATCCTTTCTCCCTCGTTTCTCTATGCCGTCATGATTTAGGGGTGCACACATGTCTGTCTGATGTGTTTTTCCAGCCACTGGGAGCCGAGATAAAAACTGCAGTTAGCCATGTATGATCCAGCTCCCATAATCTCTAGGTCCCAGGGTCAGCCTGGGAAACTGATTCTGAAGAGTCAAAAGGTTAAAGCTGTGAACTCGGCTCTCACAATTAGCCTTTGTCCTGCTTCTACTTAACCGCACTCTTGGCATTCCCATTCTTACCATCACTGACTAAATAAATGCACTCATCTTAAAAAAGAAAAAGTAATGAATTCTTCTAAGAGAGACACACGCACATACAGAGACAGAGAGACCGATGCCTGCAACAGGGTTGTCAGACCGTGAGCTACCTCCATCTCGGCAGCCTGGACTATGGCCCTGCACACACACGCAGAGTGTTACAGGGTAGAAATCCAGGACCTTCTCCTACGGTCCAGTTGTGTCACTGCCTGGCCCCTCCATTTTTTAATTTTCTTTTTAAAAGAGATACCCGTGAAAGTGAAGAAAGGAGAGTGGGAAGAAAAAAGCCAGACGAATTCACACTCCTTCCCTCTGCTACCGACAGGCTTTGAAGGGATCACAGAAGTGTAGTAAAAATACATGGGTTCCTTTTAACCTCCATTTCTCTTTTTAAATGTAACATTTGTATAAATTGGTCCTTTGTTCAAATGGCCTTCAACGTAATATAGCTGGATTGGTTGGATGATAGAGAAATAGGTTCCTTTTTTAAAAAAATCTTTTGCCATCAACCTAAGTGGATATTTTCATTCTCCTTTTTTTAACTTCAAAGTGATCCCAAACCGGAAGTGAGGCTAATTGAATTTTCTTCATTTAAAAAAGCGAAGCTGGTTGAACGCGAGGCAGCAGGGACCACGCCCCAGGGCCGAGCACAGAACACATCTCAGAGCAGAGACAGATTGAAATGGGCTGCAGTAAACGGTGTGGACACTACTGAGCTGTTGGAATTAACTGTAAAAACACAGAGGACTCCATTTCCTGCTTGTATTCTCTGCTTTAATTTCCCACACAGACGCTTGGACTACTTGACTTAACAGGGATTTAGAGAGAAGCTGTTCTGGAAGAAAACCTGAGGCTGACATTAATTGGATCATTTGCCTTTCTTGTCGTCTGTCCCCATTCTTCCGGAAGCTTTGTTTTAGGAAAAATCTTTAATATCCCTGGAGAACACTTGCGTGTCTCTGTGGGTTTTTTTAATACTGAAAGTTACAAAAGTTACACAAGTTTCCCAACTTCTTCCAAATCCATAAACTCTAACCTACCTCCTTCACTTGGGCAAGTTTCTGTGCCTTTTCCCTGACAGAGAGACATGAGATCACTGAAATTCTTCTCCCTCCACTTCAAAGTTTCTCTCTCATTTTTTGAACCCATGTTCTTCCCTCAGGGGAGAAAATAAACCTTCTCTTGGCTGAAGGTATTCTTAACCCCTCTCATCATCTTTGGGTTATTGACCTCACTCAAATTCCTTTTGACAAAAGCATTTTCTATTATTAAATATATTTTGAAATCTCGTTAAAAAAAAAAAAAAAGTTGGACTGTTACGAAAAAGAAAAGGACCAGCAGATGGACTCCCATGTGCCTCGAGTCCTAGTCTGTGCCTTGAGTCCTAGACCCTGCAGCTTAAAACTCATGCCAGGCGCTTGTGCCCATGTGCCCAAAATCCTGAGGGAGACTGGAGGAGAAGGGATTGTGGCACTCCCAGGGGAGTGTTTTCTCACTTTCTGTCTCTCTGGTGGGCACATGTACCCTATAGCAAACATTTCTCAAAATAAAGAAAGAAAGAAAGAAAGAAAGAAAGAAAGAAAGAAAGAAAGAAAGAAAGAAGAAAAAAGTTACCTGTATCCCTATTACCCAAAGCCAACTTCTGTTGCCATTTTAGTGTTCTTTTTTTCTTAAAGTTAGCGCGTGTTTATTTTTGTCCATGGGAGAAGGAGTCAAAGAGATGACCCCTGAAAGCTTCCTCATGCTACGACCAACTGCAGCCAGCCCAGATCTCAGGCATGCGTACTGCATGCACAGGGAGACTTCGGGACACGAACCGGGACCTTCTCGTGTGGTCCTGGCCTCCTGGAGTGTTGCACAACTGCTCTGCCACTGTGTTGGCCCCATTTTAATATTCTTAACTGCTCCCTCTTCTACTAGAAACAAACGGGGACCTTTATCCTAAAAAACACTCTTCCCTCTTACTTTCATGGGGTGCTTCTAGAAATAGAAACCTATATTCATTGCTTCCAGTGTTTTCTTTATCTCTTGCCTACCAGATTCAAACCGAACTACCTCACTCACCTGTTTCTCTAAGGCTTCATCTTTGACTTGTCTACAGCACCCAACTATTCACCAGTTGGCCTCCTACTTAAAAGTCTCTCTCTTAACTTCTAATCCCATGTTCCCCACTGCCTCCCCTTCGTCTAAGAGCCCCCACTTTGCCCACCTTATATATGCGAGCATTCCCTATGTTCTGCTGCAGAGCCTCGTAATAATCAACAAAATTAGTAAAGTGCAAAAGTTCAGTCTGTGGTTATCGTTATCACCCCCTTATAACAGAGAGGTCTTCAAAAACTTGTGGAAAATGCAGATTATGAAAAAATTACTCATGGATTTCAATGAAAAAAGTTTGGTATGTGTGCTTACCAGAGAGGCAGAGAGAAGGAGGGGTGAGAGAGAAAACACCCCTTCATGGAGCTAGTCATCCTCCAATCCCTTTTCCTCTCTCCTTTTGGGATTTCGGCCATGAATACACACATGCATACACACATGCATACACACATGCATACACACATGCATACACACATGCATACACACATGCATACACACATGCATACACACATGCACAGTGTGTTTTCTAAGCCTCCAGGTCCAGGACTTGAATCACATAGATTGCCATGTGAGATCCAGCTTTTGCCTTCACCACCATGCCAAGAGCTGGCCCTCAAAAAAAAATTGTTTTTGGGGAACCAGCAGTTAGCGTAATGGCTATGTCACTGGACTCCCACGTAGTCGACCACGGTTCGCGTCCTGGACCTGGTGGCTTAAAACTCATGCCGGGCGTGTGTGCATGCGTGCCCAAGATCCCGAGAGGAGAATAGAGAAGAAGGGATTGCGGCGTGACCATCCCCCCTGGGGAGTGATTTCTTGCTTTCTGTCTCTCTATCTCTCTCTGTCTGTCTGGCGAGCGCACGCGCCCTACAGCGAAAACCTCTCCAAAAAAAAAAAAAAAAAAGTTTTTGTTTGCACCAAAATAAACTTGTACTTTAATTCCATTTTTCCATGGACTTTTTGAAGCACTCTTGTATAATCAATTGCAAAATGTTAGAAGCAGATATAAATAGTCTTTTGGGAACTTTCTGTCATATGACAAAACAGGAAGAGAGAGAGCAAGACAGACGGCCCTCCCAGCAAGCACTGATACTACTATAACCCACCC